CCGCCGCAGCCGCCGCTCCACGCGTCTGCGACGCGGCGGGAAAAGGAGGAGTGGCACCAGTGGCACGAGCACCTGCAGCAGCAGCAACGGGCATCGGGGCTGCAGCGGCGCGCGTCGGACTCGGTGCACCCGGGGGTTAGCTTCTGGCCGCTGCCACCAGAGCTTGCAGGAGTGGATCTCTGTGTGGAGGTGAGGAGCCAAGGGCATTGTGATAGGAGTACCATGTGGCAGATGATGTGGGGTGCAGCTTGCGGAGACTATGAGTTGAGTGGGGCCGGATATACAGGGTATTTGAATGCTGACTTGAAAGGGTAGAGGTCGGGGGAAGAACCCGCAGGGTCTTTTGCTCTTTTGGACCTAACTGATGACGGCGCTTTGCTTTTGAAACCCACTCATAGCTCTTCTCCAAGGGCAAGCGGCTGCTGGCAGTGGGACGCGTGCCGCTCGCCCAGGTCGCGGCCGCGGCCACGGCCGCGGAGTTGACGGGCGGCGACTCAGAGGCGGCGCAGACCCTGAAGGTCTGCCTGGTGCCCGTGGCGCCCCCCTCGCGCCGCGGCCTGTCGCAGCTGGGGACCGCCCGCGGCCTGCGGCAGCGGCTCGGCAGCCGGCGCAGCAGCGACGCGGACTGCGGCCACGGCGGCAACCATGCCGAGTGCTCGCACTGCAGCTTTGTGTCGTGCAACTCGAGCAGCGTGCACTCCGCGGCGGGGGACAGCAGGCAGCTGCCGCCGCAAATGCAGCACGCGCAGCCGCAGCAGGCTGCCATGCAGCAGCAGGCCCAGGAGCAGCAGCGTCAGCAGGTCAATCAGCGCATAGAGCAGCAGCAGCAGCAGCAGCAGCAGCAGCAGCAGCAGCAGCAGCAGCAGCAGCAGCAGGAGAAGCAGGAGCACGCACAGCGGCACAAGCCAGAGCGACATCATCACCAGCAGCAGCACCACCAGCAGCAACACCACCAACAGCAGCAGCAACAACAGCAGCAGCAGCAGCAGCGGTCAGAGTCGGGGTCCCCATTTGCACGGGCCGCGTCTTTGGGGTCTGGCGAGGCTAGCAGCGCAGCCACGCTTACGGCGCCGCAGCCCGTTGCGCCGCTCTCCCGTCTGGTGCCCGCACGGTCCGGCCACTCCGACCGGGACAGGGGCCTGCCGTTGTCAGCAGTCCGTGAGGACGATGACGCCGCGGCTGGCATCGCCGCGGCCGCAACCACGGGCGTTACCAGCCACCGACCGAGCTCCGGCTGGCGGCGCACCCATGGCGAGGCGGCGCATCAGGAGCCACCAGGCGCGGGTGCAGGTGCGGGCACAGCGGCAGAGGGCGGCGTGGGGCTGGGCGTGTGGGACGACCGCCTTGACGCCTCCAGCAGCGACGGCGAGGCGGACGAGGCGCCTGTGGGGGCGGCGGCGCAGCAGGCCGCCAGCCGGCTGCCCCTCGGGCTGGGGCGTGGGCTGAGCAACCTGGGTCTGGGGCCGCTGCAGCAGCAGGGCAGCCTGCCGCTGCGGGGCCAGGGGCTGAGCCTGCGGGCCCAGCACAGCCTGCGGGCCCAGAACTCGTCCTTGCGGGAGCAGCCCAGCTTCCGGGAGCAGCAGCAGCGCAGCCCGACGCTGCGGGAGCAGCAGAGCCTCAATGTGCGCGCCCACGGCAGCCCGAAGCAGCGCGACCACGAGCAGCAGCCGGCAACGCCAGAGTCGGGGTCCAGCCTGAGCGCGCGCCTGGTGGACGCGGGGCGGCGGCTGATGCCGTCCCTGCTCGGCAGCGGCAACGGCGGCGGGCCCGGGCCGACGCCGCTCGTCGAGATCCGGCTGACGAGCCGCGCAGCCAACGCGCCGCCGGCGCCGCTCGGGACGAGCCTGTCGGCCCCGCCCGGCGGCCCTGGGGCGAGCGACGCCGCCGCGGCGGCGCCGGGCCACTTGGGGCTCTCGCGGGAGGCCTCGCCGGACGTGCCGCACAAGCAGGCAGCGGAGGCGGGCGACGAGGCGGAGGAGCGCGACTCTGGCGACCCCCTTGCCCGCGCGGGCAGCGGCTGCGTCCCCGGCGTCCTGGAGGCCACGATCGTGCTGCGCCCGCGGCGTGTGAGCGTCCTCGACGCGTCGATGCAGCTGCTGGGCCTGCGGCGGGAGGAGGCGCGCAGCTGCCTGGCGCTGCTGGGGGCGCCGCCGGGGGGCGTGTTCCTGGACGTCAAGAGCGCGTATAGCAACCCACGCGACCTGGAGCAGTTTTGCGCGGTGCTGGCCGGCGTCGGCGTCTCTGTGCGGGTGAGTGGTGCCGCGTGTGTTGAAAGCGCGCGGCCTCTACCCCGCTGGTTGGTGTCGCGGTTGGTAAGTACACGTGCAGAGAAGGTGCCTGAGAGGTCACTGCCGTCGTCGCGCACACGGCATGGTGTGAATCTTTGATTGCTGGTTGCGCGTCACTTACCCCTGCGCGTCACGAAACCTTGCTGCACGCTCGACACCAAACCCCAGGCGGTCTGCAGCTTCTCGCCGCGCCAGCTGGCGTTTCCCAGCACCCCCGGGGCACCGGCGCCGCCGTTTGACACGCTGCGCTTCTTCCATGGTGGGCTGCGTCTTCCACCCTGTCCGTCTGTCCCCCACGGGCCTCCGCACCTTTTCCTAGGCTGCGTTCCTTGTACCATCCGTGCACACACTTCTCAACACCCCCCATGATGAACAACGAAGACCACCCGACACCATGCCTACGCTTTCCACCTTCCTCGCCGCTCAGGGGCGTCTCACCCCCATCCCCTCCGTTCTGCTCCGCGCCCGCCCCCCCCCCCCCAGGCATCAACGGCCTGGAGGCCGCGACGATGCGCGGCACCGTCCCGCGCGGCTGCCGCCTCCTGATCAACGGCGCGTCGCTGCTGCTGGAGGAGGGGGAGACCAACGACGACCAGCTGCTGTGGGGATCCCCAGACTCCCGCGGCCGCGCCCCGGCGGCCTCGGGCGCGGCGGGCTCGTCGCGGCAGCAGCGGCCGCCGTCGTGGGCGGGCGCGGGTGGGGCGTGGGGGCTGGCGGGCGGCAGCTTGGTATGTGAGCTGTCCTGGATGCGGTTCAGGGCGATGGTGGACGGGCTGGATCTGGTGTGCGGCATCTACGTCCAGGTGGGCACAGGGTCCGGTGTCTGGCGCCGGCTGCAAGTTGGGGAGTCGGCCAGCTGCTTGAGCCAGGGGCGGGGACGCAGGGGTGCTCTTTCGTGACACCAGCAGTTGTTGCGCCCGGTGGTGACCCGCGGTCCCTTGCAAGCCGCCAGAAGGCGAGCCAACCTGCCGGGCCCCGCCCCAGGGCGGCAGGCGCATGCCAGCATGCTGAGTATCCTGTTCGTCCCCCCGCTGCCCCTCCAGGAGCGCGACGCGTCCACTGCCGCGGTGCAGGCGCTCGTGCAGCTGGTCAACGACAACCCCGCGTACCTGCCCCTGGGTGAGACGGCTCCTCCATGATGCATGTGCACAGCAGCTTTGCCCGCATCAATGCGCTTGCATGCATGACACGCACACACACACACACACACACACGCACAAACACACACACACACGCGCGCACGCATGCACGCACACCACACAGACGAACCACCACCTCCCTACCTCCACTCTGGCCCCCTCACAAACCCCCGCCCCCTGCTCCTGCCTCCCCCTAGGCTTTGCCTATGGCCACCTGCGGGACCGCGTCTTGCCTTACATCAGCGTGGGGGGCCGCGGCTACGCGGGGCAGGAGGTGCTGGAGGAATTCCAGGCCAAGCAGGACCTGGCGCGGGAGGTGGGTCATAGGGAACAAGCTCAGGTCGGGGGAGGGGAGAAGGGCTGGCTTTACTAATCTTAAACGGTTGGCGGTGTGTGGTGAGGGTCTGGGGGTGTGTGCCTTGCGAAGTGGGGTCATTCCAGCCCGGGTGGAACTACCCTGAAGAGTGTGTCTGTCGATGGAATTTAGACGAGCTGGTTATGAGGTTCCAGGAGTCAAGGAAGCTCAAAACAGCATCATATTCTGGATCTGCAGCAAAACTTGCCAGACGGCCGAAGCTGCGCTGCTGCCTCTCATCTGCCCCCCCCCCCTGTGTTTGGCGCGCAGGCCAAGGCAGTGATCGACGAGGGCCGCCACGTCAGCGCCAACCGCCACTTTGTCGTTGCCTGCGGCCGGCGGCTCATCGGCGCGGGGCGGTGGCTGCTGTCGCGATCAAGTGAGCCGTGCACGTATCGGCCTGAACGCACTTTCACTGCCTAGACGTTTCACCGAGCCAGTCTTGTGCGCCCCACCTCAGACCCCAACCAACCAGGCCAAATTCTCACTCTGCATTCTCCAAGCCTCCTTGACGCCCTCCTGCCCCCCCCGCCCTGCGTCCCCTTATAAAACGCAATGAAACCGCAGACCAGCGGTTTTTCCTGCACCTGCTGGCGGAGTACCAGGCCCCGGGGGGCGCGCCAGACCTGCTGCGCGTGGTGGACGAGTGCGGCGGCGTGAGGCACGTGATCTACCGCTTCTTCCGCCACTACGACGTGAGGGGTGCAGGGACTGGGGTTTCAAGGGTCTGAGACTGGGTGTTCCGGGGGCTTCCGCCGGGTGGCTGTGTCAGCGAGCAAGCACTGAGGACGTGGATGTGGGCGAGGGCCCGCAGGTGGTGGCCGTGGGACGAATCGGCTCGGGCCTGGTCTCCAGGGCAGGAACCCCGCCTTGGACAGCACACGGGACGAAATGCAGCTGGCGTGGCGCCCTATCACTATCCTGTCTTCACCAACCAACAATCTCTCGGCCGGCACTTGCGCCCCGCGGTGCCCCCCCCCCTTTCTTGCCCCAGGGCTACTCCACGCTGACTCTGCTGGAGCAGGGCTTCAACTTCGACCACACCAAGGCGCTGCTGCGGCTGCTGCGCAACCGTGGCGTGCTCGCGGCGCTGCCCGTGGCCGAGAAGGAGCAGCTGGCGGCGTGGCTGGCGGGGCGGCAGCTGTACGGGTCGGCCACGTACTTTGTGCAGATCGCGGGGCTGCGCAAGTGAGGTCATGGCGGAAGCCGAAGGGGCGGAGACGATGAGAATCGGGGGCGTCCGATTGCTGCAACAAAGCATGCAGGCTGCAAATGGGCAGGGCGGCAGCAGAAGGGGTGCACGCCTCCAAGAGAGTTCGTGTGCTGGGTTGCGCGGGTTGCTGCGGCGGTCGGCGGCGGTATCATGGATCCTCATGTCGATGCCCGGCGCCGTGCCTTTCACGCCCAGGGGCCTGCACAAGCTGGCCAAGGAGGGGCTGGTGTGCCTGATGGAGAGCTGCAACCTGCAGGAGCGCCTCGCGGTGAGTGCGCGTGAAGTCGCGGCGCCGCGATCCCTGTCAGCATGCACTGGACCCGCCCGCCGCGATGCAGCCGGCTGCTGGTGCTGCAGTCGCGGGACCCAGTGATCCCTGGCGTCCGACAACGGCGAATGCTGCATCGCTCACTTATGCCTCCACTTGCTCCTCCACTCATCCCACGACCAGCGCAAACCGCTCTCGCTTTGCCACCAGCCACTCGTAGAACCCTCCGTTCTCTTGTACCCATTCAAGTGCACGCTAAACACACGCACACAGGGACTCACGCTCACATACCGGTACTCACGCACACGTGCGCGCGCGCACACACACACACACACATACACACACACACACACGCACACACACCGCCTCACCCTCACCCTCACCTTCAACGCCGCACCCACCCCCAGGTCGAGTTTGCTGCAACAAGCGGCCGCCCAGAGCGCCTGCGCCTGCTGCTGCGCGGCTGGACCTGGATATCGTGGCACTTCGACGCGCGCGCGCGCGCCACTGCCGCGCTGCACCGGCGGCAGCCAGAGGCGCTGGCGTACCTGCAGCCGGGGGCGTACGGCTTCAAGGTTTACAGCCGGCAGCCGCTGGAGGGGCAGCCGTTCACACTGCGGCCGACGCACACGCGCGAAAAGGGGCTGGCGGAGCAGGGCTGGTGAGTCGGGGCGGGGGAGGCCGGGGTGGGGCCAGGGGCTGGCCTGGGGTCCAGGCGGCGCATGCTCACCAGCCCGCCATCCTATGCACTCGGGACCTCTCAACATCATGACCATGAGTAGCGTGGTCAACCCCTCTAGG